CTATCTATCTAACTAACTATCTATCCCACTATCTATCTATCTAACTATCTATCTATCTATCTAACTAACTATCTATCCCATTATCTATCTATCTAACTATCTAATAAAAAGTCGAGAAAATGTTGAGAACAAAATCACAGTGATAATATCACTGAATTTTTTTTTGAACTCAATTAATTGTGTTCGTCAACATGGTACGGACGAAAATGAACTGCAGCTATAGAATAAATTATTAATCTACTCGCTACAGCCGCCGGAAAGAAAATGAATGATCGATGTTGTCGATTGATTTATATATTTCACTAAACAATGGCCGCTAGGCAGTTATTGTTTATTTGATTTTCTGTAAAAATGTCTACGATTTTTTAAATCTTGTAAAATCAGTTGTTGATTTTCCAATTTTTAGAAAATGAATTTTTTCGAAAATCAAATTGAATTTCTACAAATTCGAACATGCTTGATTTTCGAATTTGTAGAAATTCAATGAGTAAGTCATAAAACTTTAAAAATCCTTTAGCTTTTTTAAGCTCGATTTTCCAATAAGTAGAATTTAAAAAAAATTTACAGTGTGGATTCAAGCATGGTTAAACGATCGCCAGGCTACCATTGAAATACAAGGTAAAAGATCGAGGTGCTTCAAGATTAGCAGGGATGGTCCGCAAGGTGTTCCAGTTTAACACCAACACTATTCATTATGTATCATAGTGATATGGCGAATTATATTCCCGGGGTGATGTCTTTTTCCTTTGCAGATGATCTTGCAGTAGTACTGGCGAGACAAATCAGAATAAGATTCACAGAGCAATGTGTCAATTTGGAACGTAGATTAAAAATGTTTTTCGAACAATTGGAATTCTACTCAATACTAGCAGTACAACCTATTAACTACTCGAAAACGGAAATCATGTTCTCAGCCCGTGCTATCTGTTATCCATATCCTTTTGCCACAAATTAGATATGGAGATCATATTATAGAATGGACACCCTCATTCAAATATCTAGGATATTGGTCAACGACGAAACTAGGTTGGGGAAATGTTATCAGTAAAATGAGAGTCAAGGTTCACCAGAGAACTGCATTGATAAATTTCGTCAAAATTAATGGTACATCATCTACTCAACTTCGAACAGTTTTATTCTCGACCTTTGTTCTACCTTACTTTACGTGGTTATTCGGTATTTATCCTCTATTCACGAAATCTCAGCGTCAGGACCTGAATCACCTTTATTTCACACCGTTAAAACGTGTTCATCGCTGTCAACAATGGGATGACTTCGTCTTTTCTTACATATATCATGAGAAATCTCTAGATGATCGATACTATAGCTACTGGGAAAAATATTCAAAAACTTTATCGAAATCTCGGGATGATTTCTTATTATTGAAACAATCAGAACTGAACACTCATAGACCAAAATGGCAAGAAGGAAGAGAACGATTTCGTTGTTTGCGTAGATCGAAACGATTCGTACCACATATTGATGTAATGGGACAAGCACTATATTGGATGACAGCACAAGGCAGAGATGGAACCGGTCTAGTTTTTTTCAGACAGGTACCGGCACCGGTCCAAAGCAATAAGACTGGAGCGGACCGGCCGGTCTACCGGTTTTACCGGTCGACCGAAACCGATTTACCGAAAAAAGTTGATCTGATCGGTCTACCTGGCAAAACTAGCCTACCGATACTAAACAGGATGCTGATAATACGTCAGTTTATAAAAGAAAAACCGACCTACGGACAAAATATCGATCTACAGACAACAGGCTAAGGCTTGAAATGAAGCCTTGTTTCATAGTGAACTTTCTTGAGGCTACCGTCGTACTTTCACGCATACTGGCATAATGTTTTCCCGTTGATAACAATAGTCTCACTGATGGGTATTTTGAAATTTTTTTTTTAAATAAATTCCTGTGTGATCAGTGGAACTAGTCTTGGTGCCAGTTATTTTTTTCATATGATTACCATCATAGAGCGGGAAAGTGAAAAATATAGATCGGTTTGGACCGATCAGACCGGTTTAAACCGGTAGACCGGTCGATCCAAAGTTCAGACCGGTACCGGACCGGGCCGATTAACGGTACTGGTTCCATCTCTGGGTGTGGGATGGGTGTGGGTGTGAGTGTTGGTGTGTGTATGGGTGTGAGTGTGTGTGTGGGGTGTGGGTGTTCAAGTGGTAGTTCTCCCTATTTCTACCTACACTCACACCCACGCCCACGCCCACCCACATCCACACCCAAATTCCTATCATCGAAAAGCGTCTTCACGAAGGACAATTTATGATGATGGTTAGTTCTACCTGTAATAACATCAATCTATAGTGAAAAAGATTTTTGTGTATTTAGATTATATTCCTTCATCATCACCATCAATTAAACGAAAACATGATGAATCTTTGCTTGAATACGGAAAGCAAATGAATGATATTAGCAATTTCTTGGAAACTGTTATGAAACAACAAGGAGTTATTGTTGATGGTCTTCAAGCACTTCGTAAAAGGCATGAGAAAATTAAAAAAATGACAACTTCATTACTTCATGCAAATAAACTTGTGAGTTTCTTTAATCTTGCCTTCTTTTGTGAATTTTGTTCAATATTGGATCAAGTCTCGGCTAATAAACCAGTTCAATTACCAATCTACGTGAGTGATTGATCATTGTTATATCAATTTGCTTTGACTTGCTTTTAATAATAGAAATACAAGGAAAAAAATCTCTTCGATTCAATATCTGCTGATTTATCAATAACTGCTACTCACTGTAAGTTGATTCGTAAACTGTATTCAACAGAAGAAATAATTAATGGTGAAGCATTAAATGTACAAGATGAAAGATTTGAAATTGTGAAAGATGAGTAATGGTATTCATTATATGTTTTACGTGTATTTTTTTTCCAAGAAGCCATGACTGCTGTTTCTTTTGAAAACGACCCGAAAAATTTAAGCGTTTTTTGGAAAAGTGTTGGGGTGTGGGTGTGGGTGTTGATGAGTGTCTTATCTCTATTCACACCCACACCCACACCCTATGTATAATACATCGAAATCATTCGATCATAATACTTCGGTTGAACTCCTACATGACGAATATCAATTGAGCTTGACTATAATCGATTAAGTAACAAGTATAAAGTAACGATAGAATAATTGGACTTCTCGCGAGTAAAGCACTTATTCTTGAACTACAACATGTTAAGTTAACTCGAAAAAGAATGCATGTGAGCTCGTTACAATCTAGACTTCAAGTTATTTGCAGAAGCATCAGAAGAAAAGAATGACACTATCCTTAACTGACTCCATTTTCTTTTACAATCTTTATTTTATGTCTGAACAGATATATGAAAGATCAAATAATGCTAGTGTCAAAGGCAACCTCTATTCGATTTTACAGCGTGTTATAAACTCGATTGCGTCACTGTTTACTCAACGAAATGTTTATTCTTCTCCTTCTAACCTAGCAGCTTCCACAGAGAAAACAAAAGAAATCTCACTCTATTAGTAGGCAAGGATCAATTATGACTACCAAGACAGCAGTGCCTACCAATTGTCAATCACGCCAAGTATCGATAGCAAAGCGGTTCACTAATGAGAATGAGTTAGTTGATTACTTTATCGAACTGCAACAATTCACTAGTCTATAGACATTGACATTGAACATCGTAGAACCATAACCATTATTATACTAAGGCGATGCATCGCAAGTGGAACAGTTTGGCAAGCGCTAGTAGCTAAGACGTACAAACATTTACGGAAGAAACTTGAAGATAACAAGAGAAAACTCCAGCAACTTATGCAAGAAATTTGAAATTAGTATTGTAATTGTTAATTTGTTTTCTGTCATATTGATAAACAAAATCATATTTCAACAGAAATTTTCATTTATATGCATTCTAATTCCTTATGGCATTGATGACGTATGAATTAACAAAATAATTGCTTCCGTATTCAGAAAAGCAAATAAAATACTCTAGTGACAACACTCTAGTATGGTGTGTCAAATATTTGTCTCTTCTTTGACTTTCTTTCCAATCGGATCTTTAAAATTTCTCCATATTATTCACGTAATATTTTTACCATGTTAATGTACACAAAAAACAAACTTGTTGCTCTTTGTAATTAACGTTAGAATCGAACATGTCTTATTTTTATGATAATTTTCATAGGCAATGATATATAACAGTCCAATTGTATAACTTTTATAACACATCATGAAATCGACGGGACAAAAAATTTGATAGATGACAATGATACTTTTTTGCGTTGGTGAAGAGTTATCTCAGAGATAATTTGATCTTACTTCTTTTTTCTTGTCAAAACTCCAATCTGTTATGATGATTCGAAATCTCTATGATAGTTTTTTAAAGAGAGTAATGTAGGATCATACGAATCAATTCTGTCCAATGTTGAAACTATGATTGAATTTGATATTGACTCCACGTAGAATTTTATTTGATTTCTATCATTGTTTTGTATTTTCACATGTTATACTAAGTTTCTGTATTGAAGCATGTGGACATGTGTCTCCTCTTCATCTACACATATACTTGCACACCCACACCAAACTTTTACTTATAGCTCATAAGTTTCACTTAAAGGGTACTTAGCTATATTTGCACAAGAAGATATTCCACTGAGACAAGGAGTTTTGTTGTTTGTTGTATTCTTTTCAGACAGGTCATTAGGCACGCTTCGAAAAGATGAACTAGTGTTTTTTTCAAATTTAGATCGCTTGACAAAGAATAATAAGAATTCGAAAAGTCTCATGCTATAAATAATTTATGAATTCATCTTCATAAACGTTTTTTTCATCATTTTTATTGTTTGTCCTTTTTTTTTCTTATTGTAATCTTTACAAAGTATCAAAATTAAAATCAAAAAAATTGTCATCAATTATTTATTATATTCATCTCATGCTCATTATACTAAAAATTAAAACTCAAAAATTAAAAAAACTTATAATTATTCTAAAATTATTAATCATACATATTATATTTTGTCAAATTTAAAGAAGATTATTGATATATAAATAAATAAAAATCATGAGAAAGATCTTAAAATAAAAACTATAATGGGATTGTTGCATTATTTTTTTAAATGATACTATCTTCTTATGATTTCTCGAATGTTGTAATCGTATTTGCTCTCCACATATATCTTCATGGTGTTCCGTCGGCGATAAAAATTTCATCTTGAGAAAATCGTTTTTTGATTGTTTTTTGAACAGCTTTGACCTTTTTAATTATTTGCGATGGAATGCTTTCAAATCCTTAAGTACTAATAGAATTATTCATCACGATGTATTCCCAGGGGTTATGCTTGACAATACAATTAATCGAGAGTCTATATCAGCATTTTTGTTAAAGTGAATACAGGCATGTCTATAAAATGTTTCTATTAATGGATTAAATGATATAATCGAACTACTGTTTCTTATTTTGGAAAGAAAATGTATGGGAGAAGAAACACATGTTACTCAAAAACGACCTAAAATACATTTATCAGAAAGAAAAAAAACGATAAAAAACGCCCCAAGACAGAAAGAAAATGAAGTTACTAAGAAAACAGAATATAGCAATCAGATAAATGCATTATAACTAAGTAATACTTACTCGAGTAGACGAATATAAATTAAGAAAAAATTCTTTTCATTATTTTTTTTACATAAAAATCAAGTGTTAGATATATCAAATGAATTTACAATTCAGCTATCTATATGTTATTCGTCACAAGTTCTAGCTATAATTATCCAGTATAGTTTGGAAAATAAAAACTATCCTAATTTATTTCATTCAGATCGACTTACATAAGAAAAGTATACGATCATAATTGAAATATGTTTTCTTTTGTAATAGTTCAATTATTCAATAGATGAACGTAAATCGATTTCCAACATTTCTGCATCTGTTTTTCTGTTTAAAAAAATTAATCTAAAGTTCAATGTTAAAATCGTACTATTTGACATAATCTACTTCTGTACTGGATGTACTTTTTTCTAATGATGCTTTCTTCCATAGATTAAAGACGTACTTGCATCATGAATGAGAATACAGACATTGTTATTATTATTTTATAAACCTTAATGCACACATTGTACTTTTTCTTTATACATGGAAAACTTCAAGTGATACCTTCGCGTTTTTTTATCGTTATTTATTGATGAATAGCATAATTGAACATTAACGTTCACATTATTTTCTTTTCTGGTCTCAATAAAATAGATCTTTATTGACTACAAAAAATAAAACTTATATAGAAGTTTGTTCGTAGTTTTCTCATTTTTCGAAATATTTGTTCAGTAATACGTTATTCATAATTATTATAATATAAATATATATTATTCAATAACTAAATTTGTTTAATTATTTTAGTCATATATATATTTCTTTCTTTTATCCAACAAAAAAAGAATTATGACTAGACGCCACATAGAGACACACATAAAAGAAAAAATAAGAGTGTTTCTTTGTTATTCTCATTTATTTATCTTAGACAAAAAATTTTTTTATCACTTCGATTCTTCTATTCGTATTGGTGCTTTTAACATTTGCCATTGTGCATTCAAAGATTCACCAGATAAAATCGTTGACCAATAAATATTTTCAGGATTAATGGATCCTTTCGTCATATTGTTTATAGTTGGACCAAATATAATAGAACCAAGTTGTTCTTTATATGATAAAGACTCATGTACAACACGTAATTCAATCATAACTTCTTGTGCTATATCACGACGTAATTCAAAAACAAGTTCTTCATTAAATGTTGGGCAATCTGATGCACGTTGTACACTAGTTTTTTTACGTTTAAGTTTTTTTCCATTACGATCAAATAATGTTACTTTCACACATGCTTCTATAATATATAAAACAAAAAAACTCTTTCATTACTTTTTTTTACTTAAAACTTTTACCTGGAAATGGTTTACTTTCAATAGAAAGTGGTCGTAAACTTTTTGCTTCAAGTACAACAACAGCTAGTTTAGCTGCACTTTGTAAATACGATAATGAAACAAGTAAATCACCTAAATCTGGATCCTATTAAAACAAAATGAATAACATATATTAATGTCTGTTAATAAGAATAAAAAATAAATAAATTTCTAACGTGTATTATTGATGATGGATCAGACTCATCTAAAGGTTTTTTCAACGAAATTTGATCCGCTTCACTTAAACCTCCAAGATCATATTTAACTGTAGCAATACGAATATCTTTATATGATGGTTTTGTTGTTCCTACTTTATATAAAAGTAGTTCAATACAATGATTATTTAATTGATCATATGATAATTCAAAATCATTTAATTGTTTTACATCAAATAAATAAGATGTTTGAAAACGTGGATGACGAACTATTTTTGTTTGAAATAGACTACGTTTTTCAGGCCATAATCGAAAACGACAATAAAATGGTGTAAAATCATTATAATTTGTACTAGCACTAGCAGTAGTTGTTGATGATAAGGCTATATTAGTATTATTATTATTATTAGTGACAAATGCATCAAGCATTTGTATGTTTTCAAAAGATAAACTATCAATAAAAACATGTTCACCATCACGATCATAACTGATTTTTATCAGTGACATAGCTCGATATAAATCATCTTCATTTGTTAGATTTGTTGGCACAGAACCTTTCTAAAATAGAAATTATTTTTTTTTCTCAACGAAAATTCTTACAAATTATTAAATGTAACTTACAGCAGCAGCTGAAGCATATAAAGCTTGTTGTAATTCTTTAGGATCAATTGGATCAAACATAGATGGACGTCGTCCTCTTGGTGGTAATGACATTTTTCTATCCGAATTAATACTTGTTGCAGTTTCAACCACTGGTGAAATATCTTTCATAACATTGA